TCAGGGGCGGTGCAGAAGGGCGGGGGGCAAAAGGGCTGTCCCCCTGCCAACAGGTAGGGGACAAGAGTATGTTTATGCTTTCACAATTTTCAAACAGGGGCTTTGTAGCTTACGTGGATTGCCCAAATTAAGATCAATCAGACTCCTACAAGTGAGGATAGAGTGTACTAAATCGGGCTCAGAGGACCTTTTCTGCATTAAGATGCCTGTTTTTTTTTTAGATTATTAGGCCACCTTTACTAAAAAATAGCACAAGCTCTAAATCAGAGGCACCGATCTTGCGTTTAAGCCGTTTGCTGGCCCAAGAGGCCACCATTATGAGTGAAAATGCCTCGTTACGGACTAGGAAGACCTCTTTGTGGAATAGGAGGACCCGTTACGAACGAGGAGGTTCCTGCTACGAACTAGGATGCCTCATTCTGAACTAGGAGACCACGCCATGAACGAGAAGGTCCCCGTTCTGGATCAAGAGGCACCCCTGCATACCAAAGAAAAGGGGGAAGACCCCTTCCATGTATCAGCGGGTCCTGAGCCAGACCAACTCTCACAGAGTCCACTAGTAAACTAACAAAAAGGCGGACACTTTGTGTAAGCACGGTCTTTTTTATCCTGGCTACAGACAGCTTCACCAATGCCGCTCTGAACAAAATTTTAGCGCCTCAAGCACGCTGGGCCGCTCTGAGAGGGGGGGGGGAGGTGCGGTGGGGAGGAACTGCGAAGTCGGAATACAGAGACGCTAGAAAAAACATTGTAAATGCCTTGCCTAACGAATGCTACATGACAATAGCTAGATACGGGGACCGCCTGGAAATGGTAGGCCAAAACAACAAAGAGACGAACTAGTGGCATGTCAGAAAATGGCAAAATAGTCCTTTTCGGAACTACCTTGTAGGGGTAGCATCCTGTGTCGGAATATGTATAAGCCACTTGCTAATTCCTGAACAGTAAGGATGCACCCAAGTGCGCAATCAGGATTTTCCTCGTGAAAATATGTCACAGTTAAAGATATTGAAGCAAGAATCAGACATGATGAAACAACTTCACTAATAACTATTGGTATGGATGGGACAGCAGCACTAGTCTTGTTCCTCGTAGAAAAATCAGAAGAATGGAGAGATGAATGCGTGGATGGTTTGGCAACATGTCTTTGTCGAAACGGATATCAATGGTAAGTTTAAAATTGTTTGCTGATCTTACTGCATTTTTCAGTTGTTTTTTTTTGGGGGGGGGGAATGGCGAGCCGCAGCTTTAACAGGACACCAACATTTAAGGGATTAAACAAGAAGCAATTGTCAGCCACTACTGCGATACAGTGCACATCTAAGGATCAGAAGACGCGAAAAATATGTGTACATGTATAACAAATTCAAGTAAACGGGCATCACGCACCAGGGTTTCATTCAAACATGCAGGCGATTTCGAGTGAGCAGGCAGCACGCATTACGCATCAGTTATACATGACAACGATTTCAATTAAACTGTCATCGTGCATCACGTATCGGACATCACTCATACATGTAAAGGATTTTAAGCTAGCACGCGTCGCACATTAAGGAATATATAACATTCGCATATTTTTTTCTCTCTCCCCCCCCTCTCTCTCTCTCTCTCTCTCTCTCTCTCTCTCTCTCTCTCTATCTCTCTCTCTCTCTCTCTCTCTCTCTCTCTCTCTCTCTCTCTCTCTTTCCATTTTCCTGGTTTTGCTAAGAAGAATAACGTTATTACTACCGTCTTATCTACCTGCATAATGCTGCCGGCAAATGCACTGAACAAGTATTGGTATGCTTCTAAACGGAAGAACTGCTCTATACAACACAATTTCTCCGTTAACCAAATTTCCTCCTCCATGCGTTATTGTTTGATCACGTCATCATACTTGGACAACATTGACTGAAAACGAATTGACGGCCGTAACACCTGGAAATCGTGCTCACAAACGCCAGTATGAACGCCTCGACAATTCTGGGTCTTGCCAGACAGTGCAAAAGGCAGGGGGTTATTGATTTTAGAATCGATCATTACTGTCGGCCAAATATGAAGCTGTTTTCCAGACTCCAATTTTAATTGCACTGCGATCTTAAACTGCATGTCAACATACCACTCACAGGCTATGTGTGATCGCTCAAGTCTTCACGTCTGTTGAGCACACTTTGTCATTTGCGCATAAACCACCAAGAAGTTAGAGCCATGGCCTGAGGTGTGGCATGCGGCTGTTAAGTATTTATATGTAGTTTAAAAGAAACAGGCGTGGTCAGCTCAAAGGTGTACGACTCTGATTCGTGAATTTACATATAAAGATTCGAACTTGCTGTTCCATTTCTTAAGCGAAAGCGAGAGTCTATGCATGCATACGAAGTCGACGGTTTCAAACTTCGATGCCCCTTAACAGTACCCCTGCCCACAACCGGCAAACCGGACATCTACCCGCCCCTGTGGCTAGTCGGTCGACCGGTGGCTAGCCGGATCGACTGTCCACCCCTGCGGCTAGCCGGTCGATCTGTGGCTAGCCGGATCGACTACCCGCCCCTGCGGCTAATCGGTCGACCGGTGGCTAGCCAGATCCAATACCCACCCCTGCGACTAGTCGGTCGGTCAACGACTACCCGGAAACCAACTCGCTTGTCCAAAACGAATTGTTGATAACCCTTGTCAAGACCCCTTTACCGTGTGTGACACACCACGGTCCAATGATGGTCATTCCTTATTTAAATTTTGTCAGCTTATGACATTCCTTGACCGCAGGCAGCGCCTGACGGTACTGTCAACAATCTTCCCTAAGGAATACCCAGTCGAAAGAGTTGTCCTTTTTTGGCCAGTTACAGTGTGCTGATAGATGTGGAGTAAAGCACGTAAAAGCAGCAGAGTAAAGCAGAGTAAAGCAGAGTAAAGCACGTGTATTTTGATTATGGTGCACACGTCAACGTTGAGTATTAGCCAGTGTGGGTACAACAGAACTTTGACTTTGTCATGCAATTATTTTGTGATTTGTGGTGTTCTACAATTGTGGCTGATTTTTTATGACGTTATTTGACAATCATCATGACTTTTACTAAACATTGCCGTCCTATTAAAGACGCCGTTACTCGGAAGTAATGGCCACATCCACACATCTAAATATGCTCTAAGCAATGTACGGATTTACTGTCATGCGTTGAGCTTTCCTATTACGACAGATTTGTGCAGCCAGTGAAGACTTCTTATTGCAACTCGCCGCTCACACTTACCTCGCAGACAAACCAATGAAATTTCAACGGACCGACTAGGACGGAGCCAATGCAACGTACAGAATAAGCCGATGACAGCCATCCTAAAAACAGTCGCACGAACAAAAATAATATGTTATTGTCAGCTGCAATTTGCTGCACACGCAGTAAAGCGTTTTCCGCGATAGGTACCCGCAAAATGCAATATATCAGATACCAAAATGTGTGGTGCATGCAGTTAAACTTCCCTTGACATCGTTGTTTACGCTTTAAACGAAAAGCAGAGCAGAATAAGCCTGCTGAAAGTACAGCGAGTTTCTCTGGAAGTTTCTCCCCAGGCACAATACGGAGCCTCAAACAAAACAAACAGCACAAAAGTCCAAGCAAGCAAACAATGAACGGTAAGGGGTTTGAACGTAAAGCCTATAATCAACTTTTCTGCTATGTCGAGGTTGGGCAGACGGCAACTCAACAGACTACCTCATTACTGGGCTATTATGACTTGACCCGCTACAGCCCTGGTGAGAGCCCAGCCCTGAAGCCTCTGGTACCTAAGAAGCCGTGTGTAGCGAAATGTGTTGATAAATTACATCAGCTATGAGTTTTGAACATTTTCACACGCCTTTTGCGGGAATTTAAATGGCGATCGTCAAAGGTTTCTTAAGGCCTGAAACCTCCGGAAATAATGCTAAGACCTCGCCAGACCGCTCATCTAGAAGCTCGGCGAAAAATCAGCGGATTCCAGCACTCACTAAAAATGGCGTGAACACTTCCACCGTTGGCGTGAACACTTCCACCCTTGGGGCGAGAGGTAGCTGCATCTTGAACTCTCTTCCAGCACCGTACACATGGACTCCGAGGGTCCAGCGGGGCTGCACAAGCCGAATGGCGAAGCTCGACCTTCCAGCAGCACACACTCCGCAATCATTTGAACGGGACGAACGCTTTGAAAAGATAATTAGCAGCACTAATTGCCCGACATTAGGATGATCGTGTGTTGCAGCACGGTTTCCCGGGAACGGATCGACGTTGTCAAACAGTCGACGGCGCTATGAGCTGGATAAATCAGTCGTGATCGATCGCAGTTGCTCCTTTCGAACGCGAAGTTTGGCACAAAGCCAGCTCGGTGGATCTGATAACTTCGGCCAGCGAGATCATAGGTCAATCCAGGCTGTGTAACAACTGAAATAAATCATTTCCAAAAACAATTCGGGCTTCGCAGATGCACACTGAGGCACCAGTAGATAAAAACACGTCACTGACGTCCGAAAGTGATGGCGATAGACGGCCAAACACGTGGGTTCACAGGCCTGCGGGGCCATTTGATGCGATATGAAAAAGTGCATTATCGCGTGCACTACAAGCTCTGATAAGTGGCTACATTTTTTATGACGACACGAAGCCATCCGCACATTGCGGAGGGCACTCAACAATATTGTTTGCGCATCGCTATGGTGACACCGATATCGACCAAACACCAATATGCCACACTGATCAGCCCGTACAACCACCCGGAACACCAATATGTCACACTGAGCAGCCCGTACACCAACCGGGACCTGTCAGACAATGCACATCGAAGGCACCAAATGACGTGAGGCCTCACGGATGTTCTTCATTGCCTCGGAACGCATGCATATCCCGTCTGCCTAAGACAACACGCCGTGGCACACCGATACACGTGTGCCATCGGACGCCTGTGGGCAAGACTAATAAAGCACGCCGTTTCTGAGCTGCCGGACAACATTGAAAGCAGCGTGGAGCCGCACCGCGGTCCAGCCCCGGCTCCGGCCGTACCTCAGTGGAAGCTCCACAGCTCAACAGCTCCAGTGTGGCTCTGCGTGACGTCACAGCTCGCTACATGACACCCCGGCCGGCGAGCACGGGTCGCGGCAGCACCTCCCCGCGCCAGCGCCGGCACCTCACTGCGGCGGCGGCGCCTGGGGACGGCGCTCGCCGGCCCCCCTGGCGGCGGCGCGGGCGGCTCGCGCCGCCGCCTGCAGCGCCCCGCCGCCGCCGCCGTGCGTGGTCTGCTCAAACAGAGCGCGCGGGAGCCAGCCGCTATGGGCACGACCATGTTCGGGCGATGTTTTGGTGTCGCCGGCGTGATCTATCAGCCAGGTGCGAGACAATGGGTCGGTGATTGCACTGCCGCCCGCCGGCACAGCGCCGACAAATAAAGCCATCGACGGGACCCTGCTCCGGCGCCGCGTGGCGCCCGACGGCAGCCGTGCGCGCTTGTCTGCGCCGCCTGCGGCCGCGTGCCGGCCGATGGACGCTCCCCACAGGCACGTGAGCGGGCAGCGGCGCCACCCACGCCAGGTGTGGTGCCGAGCAGGCGGAAGCAAATTCGCCCACCGCCTGCCGCCCAGCGCGCCGCAACCGCTGGTATTCAGTATCAAACTTGCAAGAACCCTCGGAAACCTCAGCAGTGGTGCATTTTGCAAGGACAGGATTCGTGGATCTTCACCGAGTCTTGCAGAAATTTCCGTGCATATTTTTATGTATAATGATTGGAACAAATGTTGCTAAACGTCATAGAACAATCGAGTTTCGATCAAAATCCGTATATCATTAACAAACTTTTCTCTCTATCCCTCTCTCTCTCTCTCTCTCTCTCTCTCTCTCTCTCTCTCTCTTTTTCTCTCCCCCTCTCCCTCTCTCTCTCTCTCTCTCTCTCTCTCTCTTCCTCTTTCACCCTCTGTCTCATTCTCTCTCTCCCTCGCTCCTCTCTCTCCCCCTCTCCTTATTTGTCACTTTTCCTTTCATCCCCTCCGACCCCTCCCTCCTCTCTCGTCCTTTCCTTCTTTTGATAGCGATTTATGGTTTTGCGAATGAGTTTATCTCTTGAATGTCCATGTGTGCCAGAGAATTTCCTAGCAATAGAGAGGAACTCAAGGATTCCTTAAACCACTCATTTACATGCAACACCATAAACCCAAAGCCATTTTCTCCAAAATCGAGTAAGGCCGGAGCCAACCTCAACTTGCTCATGGCTCCAGCACGCATGTCAATGTAGTAACAATATAAGCACGAGAAACATGCTTTCGTGGATGTCCCTGAAGTTTAAGAAAGCTCACAAACCGAAGGTTATTATAACTAGGGGAACATGCAGCTCTGAGAAAGTATAGCCGTAAAGCGGGGAACGGGGAAAGCAGTCCAAGATTAGGGGCATGTAGTGTCCCATGTGGCACTTGTACGAGAACACTTCTATTTTTTTTGCAGTAAATATAGCAAGGCATTCTAAGAAGAATTACAAGTATATGCGATGAAAACAGTGGAGCGGCCTCCCTGATGAAATGCTGGAATTCTCATTGTGCAAATGGGATAAGCCACTGGAAAACGCAGCATTGAAGTTTCTATTCCAGGCAACATGAACAGTGTGAAACACGAAGGTAAAACATCAGTCAGGTAAGACGCCTCATTGAAGTTTCGTACAACCCGCGGCGAGGTTCGTCCATATGTTTGAGCTGCGTGCTGTTCCACCTCATTTATGAAGTGATGCAAACCTTGCCACTGTGAATCTAGTTCGATGTGTTATTATAAACCTGCGACACAGGCAAATAAGCAAGCAAGTCGTAGCTTTTGGGGACGCTTCCTTTTTCCAGTTCAGAAATACCAATGGTAAACGGACAAACAGGCATTGCATTTGCGCGCCAGTTGTAAGATAGCAACGTTCCTAAATATGCATATTTATAGACACATGTGAGACAGAGACATTTCAGACTAAAAGGTCCACACCATTTAAGACCTCTTATGCTTCTCTACCAGAACGCTGGGAATATTAAATGCTACCAAAGAGTTGGAATTACGACCTGCCTTCCCGAGAGTGCAAATGTGCCGAGCCGCTGTGTTAACAGTCGGTGGCCCGGCTGACATGCTGTTTTCAGCTCTTGCACCGTGGGCCATGCACTCCGGTTTACAGCGCGCTGCCGCCGTCCGCAGAGCTTCACGGACTGTGCTTCTCACAGCGGCGTCTCCGCCCGTGCGCCAGCAACGGCTGCCTCGTCCGCAGAGCTCCCCAGGGCTGTGCTCTTCCCAGCTGCGTCTCCGCCCTTGCGCCAGCAGCGTGCTGCCTCGTCCGCAGAGCTCCCGGACTGTTGCTCTCCCCAGCGGGCGTCTCCGCCCATGCGCCAAGCAGCGGCTGCCTCCGTCCGCATAGGCTCCCGGACTGTGCTCTCCCAGCGGCGTCTCCACCCGTGCGCTAGCAGCGGCTGCCTCGTCCGCAGAGCTCCCAGGCTGTGCTCTCCCAGCGGCGTCTCCGCCCTTGCGCCAGCAGCAGCTGCCACGTCCGCAGAGCTCCCGGACTGTGCTCTCCCAGCGGCGTCTCCGCCCGTGCGCCAGCAGTACGCCGCCGTGTCCGCCCTGTGTTACAAACAGGGAAGTCCCCGCCATGTGGATAGAACACATTAACCGCCCACGCCCAAGCGCTTGTCGCGTGGTATTGCACGCGAAGAACTGAACTCCGCGGAAAAGGAACACTCAGTCTGCCAGTTATCAGCAACTGGGGGTATTCTCCATACCGATGGACCAACATCTGTATATGCCCGGGTGGCAGCGCAGTGACCTCTCTACTCAGGCCACAGTGCAGTGGCATGTGTCTACCCCGGCTGTAGGACAGTGGCATGTGTCTGCCCCGGCTGCAGTGCAGAGACTCGTGTCTGTTCCTCTTGCAATGTAGTGACTTGTGTCTGCCCTGGCTGCGGCGCAGTGGTCGATGTCTGCTCGGGGTGCAGTGAAGTCACGTCTGTCTGCCCTGGCTGAGGTGTAGCGGTTAGTGTCTGTTCGGGCAGTCGCAGAGCAGATACAGTGCAGTCGCATGTATCTGCTTTGGCTGCAGTGCAGTGACTTGTGTCTGCCCTGTCTGCAGTGCAGTGATTTGCGACTCCTCGGGCTGCCGTGCAGTGAATCTCTCTGTGCTCTGGCTGCAGTGCACCCACCTGTGTCTGCTCTGATTGCGGTGCAGTGGTCGCCGTGTGCGCAGTATCCCAGCTGGCTGCCTTGCAGTAGCCGGTGCGCAGTTGAACTCAGTTCCCACGCCAGCGCTGCTAAAAGCACCCACAGGACCGTCCGATGCGTACCGCGCACTGTCCCCTCCCCCCTCGGCCACCTTGGGCGCGTCCCCGCCATTTCTCATGGTGCATTCCCGCCACATTCTCCATTCGCGGCGGCCAGTGCCGGCACCGTGCTCCGACAGCCGAGTGGTGGTTGCCCCGGTAACGCTCCGGTAAGAAGCGGCACAATGCTGCTGCCCGCTGTGACCGACTCGCGTTAAATTTACTTCATATTTTGTCTCATTGTGCGATTGCGGCTTTTTCTCAGCGGTCACCTCGGCAGGACGCCATTGTCGCCGGGTTTTTCTGCCGCTTTTTCGCCGTCTGCATTTAGCGGCCCCGAGTGAGCCGGAGTTAGCGGGCGGATCGGGCACGGCCATCACGTTGAGACGGACTGCTGGGCTGGTCGGCCTCGTCTGTTCGGGCCGATAATCCTGCGCCCCTCCGCACCGCACCGGGAAGCGGCCTCATTATCGTCGGCGCGCCGGTCGCGGGACGGAACTGCTCGTCTGTGAAATCTCGACCTGGATTAGATCAGATGCGCTGCTGGAATCGGTTGGAACCGCGCGAGCCGCTTCCCGAGCCAGGTCGTTGGTAGGCCCCCGGGGTGCAGTGCCGGCGCCTCCCCGCAGTTAAGGCCAACTTGCCACAGTCATGTACTCCGAGCGTCGCTGGGTCGGCGAGCTGCGCGAGCGAGCCTCGAATGGGTAGCAGGGGTTCGATTTTTCGAAATCCCGCTGGGTTTGGATCATACTGGTTTGCAGCTGCGCCGGTCACCCAGCGGTGGTGCCGATCGACTGAGCACTGTAGGGGTGACCTGGCCGGTGGCTGGGCTTACTCCAGGAGGCCAGCAGGCGAGGTGGGAGCGCCACTGACGGCGAGGCCTGAATGCGTCGGGCATCCCTCGTCACATAGCAGACCTGGAACCGCATGACGTCAGACGAATTCCAGAGTGTTCTTGGCCGACTGAATGTGTGCAGCAGATGGAGTGTTGTGGATGGACAGACTGGCATCAATATCGACCTCGTTGTTTGGATGCTTCCGCGAGTTGAAATCAAAGTTGCCATTTTGAGGTATAAATGGGAAAACGCTGTCTTTTCGTCTGATGGACGGAAAAAGTCATCCAGCCTCGTCCATCTCAACCATCCGGATTGCTATCTTTAATCTCCTTCACGCAGAAGCCATGCAGAAAACGTTTAGAACCAATCGGCTGCAAAGTCATTTATAAACTTTGAAGGCCTGTAAATCTTTCTCAGACAACAATGAAAAATGGAAAAGCAAGTTATGAAAAGAAGCAGAACCCCGCCCAGGATGGCTGGGGGAAATGACATATTTACCCTCAACACGCACAAGGAAACCGCATTTATCATAGCCGAAAGTGCAAATGCAGTTTGGAGCTCAGGATCGTCATGAGCAGCTTTCTGTGCAGCTGTGCACTTCTCAATGCACGTCAGTGGCCTGCTTGTCAATGCAGCTCGACGCCGCATGACGGTACATACACGTACCCCGCTGTTCCTCCGGGAGGACGCCCGATAGCTCAGTGTGAAATCGGTAACGAATGATAATTAAAAAGTTTGCACAAACTATTGCTCATGGTTTCACTGACTCCTTTCCCGGTTTGAATGTGCGTCTGTCCTATGACAGAATTCAATTCATCTATCTGTTGCGCATTCCCTAGCAAGCATCTCATCTCGGAAAAAGTGCATCCTTCTCCTTCCTTTCCCTTCATCTGACCGTCCTTGGTTGGGCTGGCCGTGACCTCAGAACAGGATCCGACGCAGCCAGCCCCGCAGACGGGCCGTGCCGGCGGGCTCGTGTCCCAGCCCGTGGGGTGAGTGTCGTCCCTGTAGGCG